AACCGTGGTCCAGTGGATAAATCGTTGTCGTTCGACAATATACTGAGTCAAGCTCGGCTGAGGAGGGTTAGCACTTAGATGGGTGACCCAAACATTATACCTACTCACGCTTTTGCAGCTTTTTCCCGTTTTTCTTTTTTGATTTTTTAAACTAATAGAATATAGAATAGTGAAACTTTTCTATTTTTGAGCAACCTATTCCTGTCTACCCAAATCCGTCAATTTGAAATCTAGCTAGCAGAGGAAAATCCCTGACAAAAAAACCTGCTAGCTATTTAGTATTTTCATATTAGCCCCGCGAAGCCGCTGTGAGGCGCTCACGGTTCCCATCATTCCCCCACTACAATCTCGTACCCAGAACCTGCGTTTCTTCTGGCCTGCGAGGAACGAGGGCTTTGGTATAATCCATTTTTTGAGATCAGGATTTCTTGGACTTCCGGTATGCGTTCAAAGACTTGCCAAAAATTAAAAACTGTGTTCCCGATTTCTAATTTTCATTTTCATCAGAAGTAAACACAGAACTCTGTTTGAAAGTATGATTTTCATTGATTATATTCCACTTCCGGAGATTTGCGCATGCGCCATGAAAAATGGATTACGCCAAAGCCCTCGTTCTTCGCCGCAAGCCAGAAGAAACGCAGGACTTGGGTACGAGATTGGTTGGTTTGTTTGTATAAAGTTTATAAAAACAAACAAACCTACCAGTGTCTATCTACGCATGTGCAATGATCCTTGACTGGTTGCCGTCATAGATTAGAAAAACTGCTGGTACCGCTACGACAGGTGACCGTCCTTTCTTACACACCACCACCACTGTTTCTCTCACATTTATGTTTTATTACTCTGTATCAAATAATGAAAAAATTAAGGAACGACCCGAGGAAAAAGCTATGGATTGCTAGTATATTTTGCCTGATCTTCATGCTAGCTGAGTTTATCGGTGAGTAAGTGAGTGCTTTTGATTCATCGTCGACTAAATTTAACACTGATAAAAAAACATTTTCAAAAGATCGTGTAATGATAATTGAAGTGGATGATATCTATTGTCACCTAGTGATGGTCGATTAATTTGTGACACAGAAGACTGTATTTGAGAAGGGCAGTTGATAGCAATATCGGCCACCACATCAGCAGTGGTATAACGAGCAAAGGATAAACAAATTTACATTCCAGGTTATTCGCCGGTACTGTAGTAAATCTTAGAACAGATATATGCTTCGTAGTTGAATATAAAGTGTGTGTGACTCGGGCTGGTTATATTCAACTACGAAGCATATATCTGTTCTAAGATTTACTACAGTACCGGCGAATAACCTGAAATGTAAAATTTGTTTATCCTTTGCTCGTTATACCACTGTTGTTGTTTATCGAATCAACACTGTATAACCGCGCGGCTGTGGCGATATTGAGCCAGCGATTACCATTGAGCAGTTAACCAAATTGCCACAGTTTGATTCACGGCCATTAATACTGAGAGTCTTTGACGGGTTGGTATTTTAGTGTTATCACTTATCACGGGTTGGATTGTAGGACAACACCTACAATAGTCAGCCAATTAGATAGAGTATTTAATACGCGAGTGTCGTGTCTTGGAACTCCAAACCCCGTACCCTTTTCCCGCTTGCAGACATTATGGTATACTTGTTTTATCTGCTTGAAAGAAAATGAATTTCCTGTTTAAATTAAGAATTGTCCCCTTAACAGCTTGAAAGATAACCGTGTCTGTGTATCGAAGCGACAACGACTATCACTTGGCAATGATAGAGACATGTGAATAACTGTCCAAGGTGTTTCAAAAAAAAAAAAAAAAAAAAAAACTTCTCTATATCATTCCAAGGTCACTGCCGTTCTTGTTTCGATGCGCAGGCACGGTTTCAAGATGGCGCAGGAAAATTTTATAATTTTGCCGAAGTTTTGTAAATTTTTCCGTAAAGTGGACAACATATTAAAATTTTTAAATCATCAAAGAAATGTATGTTGTACGAAGTAGGTTTGACTTCGTTACTCTGTTCATCTAAATTTCTTTGTAAAATTTTATGTTTTCAAATGTTTATTCTCAATACGAAAATGCTCTAGAGCCTGAATTCTTCATGGTCAGCGGTCAGCCGCAGAGCTTTGGGATCGAATGTCGACGTCTACTAACATGAGCGAAATTAAATACCTTTAACACGATGTTCTTTGCGAACCGCTCTCGGTAGCGCAAACCTCAAACTGCAGTTTGACGTCAGGCGTTTTCCGTCACATTTAGAAATGCGTTATAACGAAGTTGTTGCTGGTAGAGACACCATATTGAATTTCATTGATGCTGAGTGTTTATCCGTGTATGTGTGCATATTTCTGGGCCTGATCCGGGACCTAGCGATTAGCAGTAAACCTGATGCTAATGGTCTCTATTATTATCTTCCCCACCCCCAGGTGGATATCTGTCCAACAGTCTTGCTATCATGACAGACGCTGCTCATATGCTATCAGACTTCGCGGGGTTCATGATATCGCTGTTCGCAATATGGGTTGCTACAAGACCTGCTACCAAAAAACTATCTTATGGCTGGTACAGGGCAGGTATGTGTAATGAATTGGTGAATCCTCGTTAGCTTCCTCGTGTGGTTAATCATCAATGGGTGTAGTGATATCCGAGTTAGGAATATATGTTTTCGTATGCATGTCTTGCCACGACCGTTATRTTTTCTAAAATTTCGATTGGGTGATTTTTTTTCTCGCGCAATGTGATTTGTCTCGCAGTTCCGTGATCTTTGCGTGACCGTGCTCATAAGCCGTGTTTCGGGTATTTGATTGGAATGGGAGTAAATTCTCGTGCAATGTGATTGGGCTAGCGCCTTTCCGTGTCACGACCGTGTTTGTGCCGTGAGCTTTTTTCAACTGCTTTAGTGTACTGGTTTGTTGTCATCAGAGGTGATGGGTGCAGTGCTGTCTGTGTTAGTGATATGGGTACTGACTGGTGTACTGGTTTACATGGCAATACAAAGAATCCTTAGCCAACAGTTCGAGCTGGACGCGCAAGTCATGTTAATAACCGCAGCAGGAGGACTTGTTATAAACGTTTTGTAAGTATTTTCATGTTTGTACGTTTTGTCAGTAGCTATAGTACATCTCACGTCTTGTCCTTTTGGATATCTTAAAACATTACTTTGAAAATGCATTTGCAAACAACTGTATGTATCATCATCATTGTCATCATCATCATCATCGTCATCATCGTCATCGTCATCATCATCATCATTGTCATCATCATCATCGTCATCATCATCCTCGTCATCCTCGTCATCATCATCACCATCATCATCAACATCACCATCATCATCACCACCACCGTCATCATCATCATCATAGAAATAATTAGCTATTTTTAATGCGGGTAACACATAGAGCAGTTTTCGCATGACTGTGAAAAGCTCAGTGCCGTAAGCGTGACGTGCCGTGACCGTGATGCTTTCTAGAATTTTAATTGGATGATTTTTTTCACGCGCAATATGATTGGTCTAAAAGTGCTGTGATCTTGGCGTGACCGTGTCCGCGCCGTGTTTATGTCGTGTTCCGGGTATTTGATTGGATGGAGAGTAAATTCTTGTGCAATGTGATTTGTCTGGCGTATCCCTTGCTGTGTCACGACCGTGTTCGTGCCGTGAACTTTTCACAGTCATACGAAAACTGCACTAACAGTTTCACTGACAAACCTGTGGCTAACCCAGGCTTTCTTGGCTATTTTCTGGCCCGCTTGATTGATGGTTGCCTGATTGTTTTACTCATTAATTAATCCAAGTAATATATCAGAGATGAGGCGGTAAGCCGTGTGGGATGGGCTCGGAAATCATATAAGAACATGCGTAATAGGCAAATCACGAGCCTTGTATGAAATGACTGAAGAAGAGGGCTATAATGGGCCTTTCACAACTTCAAGTCGCGTAAAAAATGTAATATATTATTGCTTCTCGTAGATTAGGAGCGATATTATATCAGAAAGGTCATGGTCACAGCCATGGCCTCGGTGTAGGGAGCCATAGTCACGACAACAAACACCAAACATCGAATGAAGAGGGTTTATCCAAATCTCCATCGAGCTTCGTTATCGAGAGTGAAGGAGAAAACGTGAACGTTAGAGCTGCCTTTATACACGTGTTAGGAGACTTCTTACAAAGTGTAGGAGTTTTTATAGCCGCTCTTATAATCTGGGTCAAGGTAGGTTATCATCTTAGTATAACATCGAGTCACTCTCTCCCTTGATTCGAGGGTTTATCTGCGGGTTCTCAGGTTTTCCTCCCACCAAAACCTATGTAAACAGGCTGAATTCCWATTCGTTCTGTGAGTTATAGCCATGTCCTGACTTAGATAAGCCCAGAAGACTTCTGGTATCAATAATAATTGAAGGTTTTTAACTCAAGGCCACAGTGCGGCACAGTTATTCAGATGTTCAAAAAAGCGCACTGTGACTATAACATCCTGAAATGTGCGTGTTGTTCAGAGTGGATAGCACGCCTCATGAAGCAGTTTATGGCTCACGCTGGTCTGTTATTATATGAAAAAGTCAGGCTATACTATGCGCTAATCCTTGCTGACTATAAATCAATATAATCCACACATATGAGACGGTTAAACAAGACCGCACTAAAGCCAGGGCCGTACTGAGTCACCAGTACGGTTGGTACGGTTTTAACTGCACCACGTTTACCTTCGGAATCATTTTTCTCCCTCGCAAAAATATTTATTACACAAGTAAATATAAAAAAACGGACCACTGTCCAAGTGGTGGCTACGGCCTTGAAAGCTATAACATGCTATGATAGGTATGCTGTCCTTAGATCTCACGGCTCCTAGTGAAACAGGAAAAAAATGCTGACAAATCATTATAATGTGTTTTATATCAGAGTTTATTTTTATTTTTCAGCCTGAGTGGGCGATAGCAGATCCAATTTGTACATTTTTATTCTCGGTACTCGTATTAGTTACGACATTAGCAATTTTAAAAGACGCACTTATCGTACTAATGGAAGGTAAGTGTCTGGTTTCTACGATGATCAATGACAGTGTATACATGCCTCTTATTTCATTTAATTTCGGAGCCTTTCCTGAGTTTTGCGCGTAACTTTGCGTAACCACAAAATCGGACCGTTTATACGTTTCCATATTTGCATCTGTTGCGCTCTTCCACTAAAATCGCACCGCTTAGTTACATGCTTACCTCTGCCGCTATTGCGCGCAATCACGAATCGTTCCGTTTACGTGTCTACCTACCTCTGCAGCTATTGCGCGCAATCACGAATCGCACCGTTTACGTGTCCCTCTCTGCAGCTATTGTGCACAATCACGAATCGCACCGTTTACGTGTCCATCTCTGCAGCAATTGCGCGCAATCACGAATCGAACCGTTTACGTGACGTCCATCTCTGAAGCTATTGTGCGCAATCACGAATCGCACCGTTTACGTGTCCATCTCTGCAGCTATTGCGCGCAGTAAGCACGAAATCGCATCGCTTAAGTGTCCATATCCGTAATTGTACATGTTGCTTTCAGCGCTACAGAAATAGAATTAGGTTTTCTGTAGCATTACTTGCGCCAACTCTGACAAACAGCATCGTTGTTGATAATGACATGATTTTCTCAAACCATTGAAATTATCGACGTACAGTTATTTCTGTTGCTCTTTCAGTCACTATATTCTAATGCGGTTATTTTTGGTAATCAGGTATGCCAAAAGGCTTATGCTTTAACGATCTTAAGACGAGTCTCTCGTCAATACCTGGTGTAGAAGCTGTTCACGATCTTCACGTTTGGTCTTTAACTGTAGGAACCGACGCGCTATCCGTCCATCTTGTTGTTGGTAACTATATATTATTAATAATTATAGTTAAACTTCTAATTAACTTCACATTGATGACCATGGTACGATAGCCGGCTGAAGTCTTATTATTGTGCTGGAACCCCATTTTATCGATTACATTTCGCATTCCCAGCTAGTGACATATGAAATTTCCCAGTCCTGGTAGGATGGATGCCTGGTAAACTGTTAACCTTAATAAATCACACATCGGTGATTATATTCTCCTTTCACAGCAACAAGCCGAGATTCCAGGTCCTCTAGGCCACTTACAAACATGATTTTTTTAGTCTCAAAAAGCCACTGGGAGCTTGTAGTCGATATGTTTTCTATTCTACCCTTATAGGACGTATCACAAAGCTAAATGAAAAACATCCCAGTAGTAAACCCCATAAAGTTATACAAGAAGATGATACTGATATTGTGCGTTTTTAAATCACAGCTGACGACTCCAATTCACAGAAAATTTTAGAAGAAGCTTCAACTCTTTGCAGTAAACAGTTCGACATTAAACACAGCACTATTCAGATCGAAACTCACTCGGACGACCGAGAAAGCTGCAAAGTATGCGACGAGCCACAGGATTAGGCCAAGCAACGTTGGTTGTAAAGCAAGACATGATCTGGGACATCGTCAAACATGATTTTGTGGCCTTTCTGGAAATGCTTTTTCCCTTTTGGCCTGCTTGCGAGATGCTGGTTATGAGTACCTTGYGCTATCTTAAGGAATGTACCCGGTATAACGTCATGTGTGTGACGTCGGCCAAGCATGGCGGGGAAGAATGTGTGCCAAACCCAGTTGTCAAACCCAGTTGGCAACCCGCGGGGAAGGTTGCCTAGCAACACTGCTTAGAAGACCCAAAGTGAGTTATCAAAGCGCTAGAAGAAACATTTAATAGCGTCAATTTTTCGGAAAAAAAAATCGAAAACAAGCTTGATTGAAAGGATATTATATTTGGTGAAGATGGATTACGTGACATAAAGAGACATGGTGACATTACGTGACATGGTGACATGAACTTGATCGTTATGYACATAAAGAAATTGTAATAAAATGAGCAGTTGATATATATTTTCTATAAATACAGTGTGTTGTGTGGACTGAATGACACCATCCAAATTAGGTTATATGGGATAATCAGATTCTTGTCGAAGGGAATTTCCCACTAACCTTAATCAATCATCACACTTATCCCACACGGGAAGGGTGTCAAAGGTGCCCTAGGGAGTACAGTTGAAAGATAGTCTCCTGCGCAACGCTCACTCCCCTAAAGGGGAGTGAGCGTTGCGTGACGACACTAATAGCGGCTGCGTAGGAGACTAGTTGAAGGAGGGCACCTGTTCAGTACGTTAAACTATTTACTGTAAACCAAAAAAACTTCATAAATACTATTTCCCTGGCCTAACTGAGCTAGGAAGTCCAACTAACAAAACTCACGCTATCATCTTGGTAAAGCAGCATCATTTTTACGAATTTTGAACACATTTTAACAAAAATGTACAGCTTTTTCCCGCCAAATCTCCGTCTACGGCGCCCGCACGCCTCCCAGGTCAGTGCAAAGCCGCCTAAAGTAATGCGCACTCAGTTCCCGGTAAATTAGAATCCCGAAGAAGAAACGAAAAACCAAAATACCATGAGTTTGAGACCATGGTTTTTATACTTTTAGCAAGACTACATCCTTATTATCCAACAAACTGAGCTCTACGGGAATAATTCTAACGAACTCATGCCAAAATACACCGGGARAACCTACAGCAGAGCTCGTAAAAGAGTGTGTAAAAGTTCAAAGATATTTGACGAAGTCCAAGATGAAGGGACGACGAGCGACGATGATAATAAATCTTCCGAGTCTTCTTTAATCTCTACTATGCCAAAGAAGTCCTCCTGGTCTAGAGTGCATAAAGCTGTAGCTAAGACACAAGAGAATTCGCCTGTTAAAAATGGACCAAAGAGTTCCAAGAGAGCAAAAGTGCTGCCAGCGATAGACGAACACGATCCTTTTGCCTTCACAGATGAAGAGGACTTGTCCTTACCAAGTAGTCAAACTAGTTCGCAGAAAACTATAGTACCGTCCGATAAAAGCACTGATGATGAAGCTTATAGTAGTTCGCAAGAGCTGGGTGAATCGTCTTCGAAATCAAGTGGAAGAAAAAGCAAAAATGCAAAACCTTCCTCATCTGTAAGTTGCTCAATGCTCTAGTTGCATAACAGTAGTACAGTGTTTTGAGTTGCATTTTCTCGTATTTTTTGCGTGTTTTGACGATACTCTCCTTTAAATGTATACATCGAACACTATATTTACTATAATAACCCGTTTGCAAACCAATGTTTTTTTCTATTTGTCTTTTTATGCTCACACGTGATTAGTCATGCTTATTGTCCAGAGATACTCAGTACACATGTAAACTAGTCATGTAAACGTAAAAATCATCATTAATCATTATCATAGACAAGCTCGGCAAACATTATCTTTTTCGAGAGGAGTTATCAGTGTTATTTATTGTAAGTTTTCGTGCACTGGTGCTGTAATTTTATACTGGATTGTTTAATGCTTTGTCAACCTGCAATGCCACGAGCATTATTAATTAGTATGTGTGTGTTTAGCAACAGGGGTCCCTAAACAGCTATTTATTTTCTTATAGTACACTCAACAAAAGTACTCGACTCAGATTGGTTGAGAGGAGTACAATTATAGTGTTAATTGTACTCCGTAGGAGTACCTAATTAAGCTGCTATGGCAACACGGCCAAAACAATGTCAAAACAATTATTTTCCATCATTTTGTACTTAAGAAACATATAAATAAAATTTTATAGCTGTAAGAACTAATCTTTTTTAAGGATTTCAGTTGCACGATGGACTGAAAATCGGCCGCCAAATAGATAAAGATGAACGGTGTCGCTTCAGATTTTTTACTGAAATTTTGTTGAGTGAACTATAAACAAAAAATCACACGATCTTCTCGTACAATTTGGAATTAATAGACACTCGTAATGTTTTGAAAGTTCTTTCTCGCCTAAAGGCTCATGCAATTACAAGAGCTTTCAAAACATTACTCATGTCTATTAATTTCCAAATTGTACTCGAGATCGTGCGATTTCCTATACAAATAAGGACAGAAATATGATAAAATATCAGTCCATTAGAGCCATTATTAACTCTGTCTTCCTTCCACAAAATCCCCATTTATTTATTTACCTGTATTTATTTTTTAAAATGGGGTAATATATTGAATAACATGTAATAGTTCATTCTGAAATTATTACTGTATTTTTTTAAATCTGCAGTCTCCTTTCAAGAGCTTCCTGAAGAACAACGATAAATCACTTTCTCCTCAAAAAAATAAAGATCTGCGGCGGCTTTCAGCTTTGGTAAGACACAACTTGCTCTGGACCATCACACTTGACACTCATCATACAATCCTGGGTTCAAACCCTTTACTTTATTAAATCCTCTCTCTGATGTCGGTCACCCCTAACAATGGTCTTTAAATACAGCAAATCAACTCCCCTGGGACTATCACACTGTAACAATGTGGCAAGGTGTAAATCCAAAAACAATGAAACCATTGCTATATAGGGTATAAGAAATTGCCACGATAATGTATTCTTACTGTATGTTTTAGCCAACGACTGCAAATCTAAGTGATGAAGAATCCCCAGAAGAATCTTCCCCAGAAGTCCCAGCTGTAATGAGATCATCATCATGGCCACAAGGGACTAAGAAGGTTGATCAACAGGGTGTCATAAGAGTCAAAAGGACTGAAAAACCTGTGAGTGATAATATACTTTTTTTATGTTCCAAATAGACCTATCCCGAATTCGCTTGACTGACCACGAAACAATGGTTTGAAGTCAAGACTGAACTTGATTCTCTTATTCATTAAGTTCAACCTCGACTTGAAACCATTGTTTTGTGACCAGTCAAGCAAATTTGGGATAGGTCTATTACTGCTGTGTTATCTGATTGCAGACTCGTTTAATCAGGGTTAGCCTTGAATTAGTGTCTAAATTAAACAACTACGAATAACAAATACAACAATGCTTAACTTTCTCGGTGTAACATTTACGGTATTAATCATAATAACCATAGTTTTATATTCTTTGAATATTTTCCAGCTTTTCACAGTTATTCGAAATGTAAAGAAAATGTCGGAGTGTTTGATGTCCGGAGAAGATCAAGAGGTAATGAAAGAATGAATTTTTAAAAACTTCATCTTAAAAGTGAATAAGAAATAAATAAGCAAAATGGAAGGGGCCAGTAATTGTAATGTTTGTAAGGAATGTACTACATAACAATACAAGTTGATTAAAATGCCACAGGTTTTGAATGAATGGCTGAATATTTTAATGCACCACAGAGGCAATAAAGGCTGAGCAAAAGAGAACTCAAAAGTACAGTAGGGGATTAAAGTTTTTGACCATAACACTATTTTATAATGATGTCACATCAAAACAAACTATTGTTTTAACGCTAGGGATCAGGGTCGCTGGAGGGGGATGGAATGACAACAACACATCTTAAATAAGCCTGAAGCGAGATGACGTTTTACCCCCGTCTCTAGACCATAATCCTTTTCACACTGCTTTTGTTCTTTAATTATGACTATTGTTCCTGTATTCTCTAAGGAATCAAAAATTTTAATATGAAAGAATTTTTAAAACTATTATGGTCTAGAGACGGGGGTAAAACGTCATCTCGCTTCAGGCTTATTGCAATGAAATTTGGTTTATGAGCTGGTGAAGGCAAGAACAACTAAATAGTACACTAAATATCTCGAAAGAATTCAGCCTAAATTTCTATCATTTTAGCCGATGTAAACAAACTGTGATGTCATTATGAAATAGGGCAATTCTCTTGATTGACTTGTATATTCGTTTTTTCCAGTTTTTTGACGACATTGAATACTTACTAGATGGTATACAGTCTGGTAACTTAGCAACAAGATGTTTAAGTGCCCTAGAGATAGCATCACGCTGCACTACTGCCAGTTTTAGAATAAACCTGCGAGCACATGGTTTTATTCCTAAGATTTTTAAACAGCTTCATGACGCTCACACTAGTAAGGTATGGTTTTTGTTGTCGCTTTGTTAACAGCTTTATTGCCAGGCCTTCAATGAACAGAATAATTAACAGAACATACTAAAGAAAAAAATGATAATAATACAAGAAAGAAGGAAAAAGAGGGTGGGTGCAAGTTTTAATCGTTCTCTTTACCGCTAACTAATTATGTTATTTGTTTAATGTTCGGCGATTTTGCCAAAAACTAGTGAACTGAGCTGCTAATTAGTTTCCATTATGCATGAAATATTGTCTGAACCAGCCAATCAGAACGAACTTGATCGAAATGTTTGGGTGCCCCACTTTGATGTTTCGAAATGGTTATGTCTATGTACAAACTCTGCCTATTGAAACATCAAGGTGAAGCGCCCATGTCTAATTGGTTAGTGGTAGAGAGCACAATTAAAACTTGTCAAAAAGATGTCAAAAAGAAATCAAAGAAGAAACTTATAAGAAGTGTTCACAGTACGATACGTAGCACAGTAATACGATTTTACCCTGTTTTATAACGTGGAACTTCTAATTACGGACACCTGAGTTCATATTACGGATACGTCTATATTACCTGTAGACACATCAAAATTATGGAGCGACATATATTGGGGTCCTTGCAAAATCACCATACATTTTTTGTTTCATAGACTTGACCCAGAGATATATTATGGAATGACACTTTGGCCCTTTGGGATCAATATCATGGAGGACTTTCACTGTATCTCAATCCTCATACTTTTCCCTGGCCCCCTAAAGAATTTTAAATAATGGGACTCCCTTAACATATCATTCCTAACCTTTTTCACTTTCTGTCTCAACAAAATCATCTCCAATCTAATTTAATTCAACTTCTTGTTTTTGAACAGAATTTAGCTCTTTGTACATCTGCAATCATGTATGTCCTCACACAAGATAAGCAAAATATTGACCTAGACAAGTTTGTTCTAGGTACGTTCTGTGGTTTGGAATCTTAACTTCTTATACTTTAGTAAAAATACTCTGATTGGTTGAGAAACTCACACTATAACATGATAATCACCTCCAGCGATAATCCAAAATGGCGGCTGGCCGCTTTGTTGCTGTTACTGGAAAAAATTATTCTCGGCCAATAATTGTTGAATAACATCATACTATAATATTACCATTGATATTCATTTTTTAAATGACTTAGATCAGGTTGATGCAGAAATAATACTAGTTTTAAAAGCTCTATAGATTTCATGGATTTTGTATTGTTTTTAAAAATGATGGTTTATTTCATATTTTTCGAAGAAATGATGATGAAATTTCTGTCTGTTCCTGAAGTCGATGAAGATTCTGAAGACATAGAGGACAAGAAATATAAATCCTATGTTCAAAAAGCCAGGTATAAATTATCAATTAATTAATAATTAATTAATAATTTATTAATTATTAATTATTATAATTTTTGATACTTTTATTTTTCAATCTCTGCAAAACTTTGCAATTTTGCTAAATGTTGACATGGAAAATTTGAATGTAATGTCCTTTTATTATATAGATATCGATGAAATACCAGGTTTAGTGTCCAAAACTTGATATCTTTCACCAGTGGAAGATACCATATCTTTCACACGTGAAGATATCGCTGTTGAATGAACACTTGAAGATAAAATTCGTATCTCCACTCGCCCATGTAATATCCTCTATTTATTAGTAAGACCAATTTTTCAAAATGTCATGCTTTCATATTCTTCAACTGCAAACCTGTGCCATCAAACCTGTGGTCTCTACTAATGAGCTGGTCCTGGAATACCTATGTTCCTGGAATATCTTTGTTCCATGTATACTGTGATAGTCTTAACTTGTGGTGTCTGAGTTTTTGTTTTTTTTCCTGTCAGGACAATGTTTGAGAAACACATTAACAGAATACCAGGTGCTTATCTGGACTTAAAAGATATCAGTGTAAGTTGTTGAATAATTTTTGCCACCTTATTTTTTAACTCCTGAAATTATCCCATTCATATCCCATGTTTTCACATTCTTATTCCTTTCCCATTCCTTATCTCATCCTTATCCCATTCTAATTCCATTTTTATTTTAGTCTAATCCCATTCTTATATCATTTACATATCATTTGTTTTCCATTCTAATCTCATTCTTATTCCATTCTTTCCATTACAGTACAATAAAAAAATCTCATTCTTTTGCAACACTTGTCATTTTCTTTTTATGTTCTTTTATACTTCTTGTAATAAATAGATATCATATTCTTTGCTGTTTACCAGGCATCATCACTTGCAAGAGAATCTCTTCTGTCTATCACATCAGAGAGGGCTGGCGCATGGTTCAAAGAAGAAATAAGAACATTAGGTGGTCTTGATCATATTGTGGATGCTGGTGAGTAAACCTGCTCAATTGCCTTGTTTGGAATTAGTAAAAGACCATTGATATCTGATTACAGATGCTAGCCGCATTGCAGCATCAAAATATTCACAAACACCATCAGTAAAATAATACAACATTACCTGTAAACACTTTAAAATCTTAAAATGAAACACACCAAGAAAGGCTTTTTAGTTCGCATGTAATGTTTTCCCATTTAAGACCAGATTGCATTCTCTTGAGAATAAGATTATTCATTTGAATTGTATTCATGTTCATGTGTCTTCTCATGCGCAACTGCTAAATAAAGAAATCATACTCAAGGGAATGACACGTAGTCTGAAATGGAAAAACATTACATAATAAATATTTATATAAATATTTTGATAATCACTGTTTTTGTTTCATAGTGACTGAATGTGTTGATTGGCTTGTGGAAGTGCATGGGAACTATATCCAGAGAGACCAAGACTCACAAGCCAAAATACAGAGAATCAACAAGACTTTAAAATTATTAGAAAATGTAAGTTTTTCAAGGTTTTGTTTCCCTGCTAGCAGAGTCTCTCCTCTTTCTCTCCCTTTTTTTAGGCGGGGAGGAGGGAGAGGAACTCTGCCGATGTAGAGAGTTTCCTTTGATAAAGTACACCACCATCCACGATTGTGGACAAACAAAACCAGTTAAAAAATCAGTTTTTAATCGTGTACATGTAGTGCGCATGAGCAAATGTAACGCACCATGGTGCCAAATGTTGTTTGACGAGAGCGGCTGTCAAATTCATGACAGCATTGCTAAGTTACGCCACGCAGGTGCAACAAGTATAACATCCTACATCGGCAGAGTCTATTTTCTCCCTCCACCAAAACAAAAGGAAAATAGGCTCTGCTAGCAGGAAGGTTTAGTAAATTTTTCAAATTTTCTTGTCTTAATAGTTTTTTTATGCATGTATATTAATTAAGTAAATGTAAAGTTGCTGGAAGCTTTATTTTTGAATAAACATTTCAGATCACTTATGAAGATGCTGCCAATCAAAAGTATCTAATTCAATACAAAAAAGGTCGATTAGCTGGAGATCTGGCAAGGTAATATTATCAGGATATTAATTTGGTAATGGACAGCCACTCCTACAAGAAAACTTATCTTTCTTTTTTTCAATCTGTCGTTACTAAGGTTTACAAAGCTGTGTGTGAGTACAATTACAGAAGGTCTTGGGGCTGGAGGGTCTTCCTCTAGTGACTTATACATCCATAATGAAGCAACTGCAGAAGATTGTCTCTTCAATGTTCTTAAAGTTTTTCTAAATCTTTCACATGACTGTGGTAAGTAGTTCCATTTAATACTTACCTTTGCAAACAATTTGTTATATAAAATTTATTGTCTAATTGTTAAGAACATCATATTCCATTTAAAAACCTTGAAGGTATTTTTTTTTCTTTCAAATCATTTCCTTTTCATTTTTTTTCTTCCCTTTCCATTTTCTTCCCTTTCCATTTTCTTCCCTTTCCATTTTCTTCCCTTTTCATTTTATTCCTTTCCTATCTTTGTTTCATTTCACTTCCTTCCCTTCATCATTTTTGATTTCTTGCATCCCTTTTCATTCCACTTCTACCTGTCCTTTCCTTTCATTTCCTTTATCCTTCTTTTCCTTCTTTTCCGTTTCACTCCTTTCCCTTTCCTTTCGATTTGTTTTGATTCCTTTCCTAACTTCCTTTCCTAACTTCATTTTATCTCATTCCATTTCTCTTCCTTGTCTTCTCATTATTTTCCCTTCTTCCCTATGTCACAATAACTAGGTACAATTTCCCTTTTCAGACGAAGGAAGCAATTTAATTGGTCAACAAGAAGGACTTTTATGTTCTCTTTTGTTTTGTGTTTTACAAGTAAGTTGCAAAAATAGAAATGTATATATGATCATTCTATTTCTTGAATATGATTTTTATATACATTATCTAATAGACCTTATTCGTGGTGTGACAATGTTTTCCCAATTCAGTGTGACAAACCTCTAGGGGAATGAAGAGCTATTGTTTTGAAACTCGTTGGGATATCATCGTTATTCCTTTTTTATCCTTTGGGATACTCATGAATTTTTTGAAGAGTAAAAGCAAAAGAAAATGAATCCCCTGGAGGTTCGTCACGCTGAATTGGGAAACATTGTCACACCACAAATAAGGTCTATTATTGATTAATAGATTCATTAATTCAACATTAACATATTTTAACAGTTACCCCAGTACATTGAAGCAAGCAAGAGATTTGATCTGCATGTATTGGTAAGACTTGATCATACTGCCACTGCCTCTACTAACTAGGACTATAATCACTATTTACAACACATGGCACTTGACTCACGTGTTGATTTTTTACGAAGCGAAGAAAACTGGACAATCCAGAGAAAAACCTTGTGGCAAGGCACATTATATAAACTTATAACTCACATATGTGGCTCAGTTAAAAATTAAACCCACAACCCAAGGTGCAAACTACACAGCAGTTGCAGAGAGCACTGCAGCAGTGCATGCATCCAGCTAATAATATTTTAAAAAACGTTGTTGAAGTTTGTGTTGCGCTTGAAATGTATTTATTGATTATATGTAAATAATGTTTGCACAGAAGAAAATATGCTGGAGAACCTGCAGACAAAATAATATTGGAAAATTCCAGACCTTTTAATGATTGAATTCACATCACTTCACAAACTGGATTTTTTTAGCATAAAGAGTAGAGTTTGCAAAGCAGGCTACTACATTAGTGCATTTTGGGCTTGGTAGGCAGCATGAAACAAAACCTTCGCCAACCTTTTTCTTTCAAAAACAACTATGTATTGATGTATATTTGTTTTAAATAGGGACTTGGTTTATTGATTAACCTGGTGGAACACAGTAAACAGAACATATCAACTCTAGTACGCCTGAAAACAGACCCCTTTCATGAGAGCCAGAACACTAGTACTGATAGTATAACTGATTCTGATGGTCTGGTGGGATCCATCGAAGCTTTCATGCAGTTATTTATTGTAAGGGAGCGGGCATCTAGGGATACTGATCAAATGACCAACGCACTTTCACCAGAAGGTAGGTAGAGGGAGAACAATGMTTTATGGATGGATAAATGGATGAATTGAAGGGATGAATTACAGCGGTTTTAAATATTCTGTGAACTCGGTAGTTGCAAATCATTTTTACAACAATCCTTTGAAATATCAGTGTTTGTAGAATATCAAAAGCTGTAGTAGCATACACCGTTCTCATAATGGCTGACAAGTGCACGAAAACAAGGTCAACCAGTCATTAGTTTACAATAGAAGATATAAAAGCCCATAAAATGTGTTTATAGAAGGAAAGTAAAGAAAAGTATAGAAACTGACGTTTTGTTTTGACCTGAATTCCCGCTATCCACCTTTATTTTGTATGAGCAGCCTTGCTCAGCCTTGCAAGATGACTGGGTGTGCTCGTTTTGGTGTGCTTGTCAGCCATTATGAGAATGGTGTATGACACAATTTTTATAAGTGACTTAGATAAAATTAGTTTGAGTATAGAGAAGTGCAAATGATGGTTCTAAATGAAATATCATGATCAAATTATTATTAAATTACTATTGGCTTGAAAATCAAGTAAGACAATGGTATACTTAACTGATGTTTTGGACATAAGTCCGTTATCGGAGTAATGAAGTAAAAATGAATAGAATGGTAAGGTATGTATCATAAATTACCTACGTGAGGAGATAAGTAGCCAATAGGAAAAGACCAAGTTAAGACAAGGAGGATAAAAGGGACATTAAAGGAGTAATTAAATAAATTAGATAGAAGAATAGAAAGAATGGATGGGTAGAATGAATAATATATAGATGGGAGGGATGAGATTGGATGGATGGGTGAAAAGGAAAGGATAGATGGATGGGATGGTTAGCTAGAAGTTGGGTTAATGGACAGCCAGAATTAAAATTTATACAAAATTTTAAAAATAAAGATGAAGTTGAGGAAGAGCAAGTTCTTCAGCCAACAAAGGATGGACTTGGTTGGATTTGCGGCAAGGAAATTGATGTTTCTATGAATGAAAGCACGAAAAACGAATCCATTAATGATGCAGTTGCTTCATCGTCATCTTCCATTGAAAAAGATACCAAGAAATCAAATGACCAAAACTTGGAAGATGAAATTGGAAAAGGTGAGCTTAAAGTTTGTATTTGTTGAGTCTGTAATCAAGAAACCCACAAGTATTTTACAATAATTTCACAATGATTTTTCAAGCTCTTGCCATCTCCTATAGAGGCTTTGCACCATCAAGTGATGGCAGCCATGACAGGAGACAGGAACAATAAGCCTTTTCATAGTTTAAGAATCGATTCCACTGCGCATGCGATTTTATCCCGAATTTCTCACCTTCTTTTGTCTAAACATTCTTCTGTTCTTAATTAAACAAAAGAAGGTGAGAAATTCGGGATAAAATCGCATGCGCAGTGGAATCGATTCTTAAACTATGAAAAGGCTTATTGAATCTGGTCTAATCTCATTTACATGAGAAAGAATTCAGTTTCCCAGGGGAGAACGACTCTATTGTCGTGCCTCCTGTCATGGCTGCCATCACGTGATGGTGCAAAGCCTCTATAGTTCTTCTTGTTCATTAATCATTTTGGGAAAAATATCCTTTCGAGAGTAGTATCATCGATGATAGTGTTTTCTCTAACACTGACAGAGAAACAGGATTTTCATAAAGGTTGGAGGTCGGAGAATGTTCTAGTAACTGAGTAAAATTCTGTGGCTTAAACCACCATAATCTTCTCCTATTATTTCGAAACTTAATAAAAACCCTGCCAGGACTGCCAGTTCATCATTTTCTTCTGTTATTTCAAAATGAAAACCCTAGATAAAGAAATAATTCTCAAGGTAGAATTTAATCCACTTACAGTACTAATAACATCTTGTTATTCTAGCGTTGGAGATAGCAGGCAAGCACATGGAGGACAGTATGGTGGCTTCTTATGTTGCTTTACTGTTGGGATGTATTCTTAAAGACAACAAGGTATAGGACTTCATATTTTGAATACTTGAAACTCAGAGACATTGAAGTAATGTTTCAAATACGAGTTGCTGTATTCTATTGGGGTTTCAAAATGCAAGTGTAATTTCAAATGCGGCATACTGAATAGAATACAGTGACAAGTATTTAACACGACATCTTATACTCTTTTATACTTTAAAATATTTCAAAGTCCGAGTAGTAGGACTTTGAAATATTTCAAAGTACTAGAACTTTGAAATGGCTGCGGTCATATTTGATGGGGGTTTCAAACTACTGCATGTGGTACAAATAAGAAACCCTGGTTGGTCGATGAGTTCATGAATTATTAATGAGTATAAGATGCACGTTTTAAATGGAGAGAAGGGCTAGGAGACTAGATTCTTTCTTTTATTTGAAAAAGCACTAAATTCATGTGTTGAAAGGATGTGCGCAAACGATGCCCATGAGCGTCCTTACTAAAGGACAATAGAGATTTTCACTGGATTAGACTTACGGAAAGTGGCATCAAAAGGGAATGTTGAAGGGACAAGAGGGGGGGGCAGGACTAGGAATAGCAACAAGGACAGACAAAAGGAACAACAAAGACAGGAGCAGCAACAGAGGTTCATGATACTATTGTTATTAACAGGCTAATGAAGCTCTCATCAGAAGTCTACTACCAAATAAAGACTTTACACTTCTTGTAGATGTTCTGAAAAAGTTTCTAGGATTTATGAGACTAACTGTAAGTAAATACTAGAACAGTATTTGGAAACACTACTAGGTGGTAAGTAGGGTGTTGGTAGGTTGTCAGTAGGGTGTTGATCGGTGGTCCGTAGGGTGTTGGTAGGTGGTCAGTTGGGTGTTGGTAGGTGGTCAGTAGGGTGATGGTAGGTTGTCAGTAGGGTGATGGTAGGTGGTCAGCAGGGTGTTGGTTGATGGTCAGTAGGGTGTTGGTAGGTTGTCAGTAGGGTGTTGGTAGGTGGTCAGTAGGGTGTTGGTAGGTTGTCAGTAGGGTGTTGGTAGGTGGTCAGTAGGGTGCTGGTAGGTTGTCAGTAGAGTGTTGGTAGGTGGATAGAAGGGTATTGGTAGGTGGACAGAAGGTTGTCAGTAGGGTGATGGTAGGTGATGATTGGGTGTTGGTAGGTGATCATTTGGTGTTGGTAGGTGGCCAGTAGGGTGTTAGTGGCTGGCCAGTAGGGTGTTGGTAGATTSTCAGTAGGGTGTTGGTAGGTTGTCAGTAAGGTGTTGGTAGGTGGTCAGTAAGGTGTTGGTAGGTTGTTAGTAGGGTGTTGGTAGGTTGTCAGTAGGGTGTTGGTAGGTGGCCAGTAGGGTGTTGGTAGGTGATCATTGGGCGTTCAGAGGTAGACAGTAGGGTGTTGGTATGCTAATGATAGGTTGTCAACACTTATTTGGGAGTCAAATTGTCTACTATTACTTACTCTAAATGAACAGCACTATGAATTTGCAAAAAAGTGCATTGATTATTGCTTTCTTTTTTTATACAGAGTGGAACTAGTGGACATTCTATAGAGAGGATTCTAAAAGTATTACAGAAATGCTGTGAAAGCAAAGATTAATATCATTCAAGATGCAACGTTTTATAAACTATTATTTTACATTGTACATATATTATTATTGGCTCATGAAGACCTCACTTACTCCATAAAACCGTATAGTTTAAATAATATCAGTGCTAATAATTGGTAATGCATTTCAGTGATGAATCAATAGAGAATAGACACTRGGTAGGGTGTTTAACACTGCAAAAACATTTTTGCAGGAACAAAGATTATCATGTACAAAATTTACCAACAAAATTACCCTTCTTTTTAATGTCCTATCCTGTACTACTCTTGTGAATTATCTTAGCCTGCGTAGTGGCACTTTTGGAAGGAGGACTAGGGAGGAGAAGTGCCCCCTCTCCAAAGTGCCCCTATGCAGGCTAGAATTATCTTTCAATTAATAATGTATTGTCGTTCAATAATTCATTAGAAATTTTACTTATCAATAAAACTTCCATCTTTTTTGTCCCATTTTTTCCTTTTCAGTGGACAAAATAAAGATCATCGTTAATATTCATAGTGGGACAGTTTTTCATTTTATTGTGTTCATGACAGTGATCATGTCACTCATCTCACTGTCACTACAAACCAAAGGAAGCCCAAGCAACTACTTGTACCTTATTACAAAAGGAAAGTATGGGAAATTGTGTATCATAAGAATAACTTTAGTGATACTTGTAGATTGACTCCAAATTGTACAGAGACAAAGAACAACAAATGCAAAAATTGGTATGTTAATAACTTCAAATATCACTTTCATGATACACAATTCCCCATATATTCCTTTTGTAATAAGGTATTTTATCATTGCGGGGAAAAAAAATTATTGCTCAAAGCTGATATGGATCTTGGTCTGGGCTTTTCAGGTCAATTTAACAAATTGACATCAGTTTTTTATGCCTGTCCTCTTAGTGACGATAAATTGTGTCATTACATTGTCAAAGCAGTGTGAATCCATGAGGCGTAGCCCAGACAATGTGATGACACAATTTATCGTCAATAAGAGGACAGACACATAAAAAGCTGATGTCAATTTGTTTTTTACAATAACAAAAATGATAAAAACTTCTCGTTTTTAGTGATCAAAACAACYRACRGAAAGASCGMRCGMTYGTTGACGTCAGCTTTATCTGTCTGTCCTCTTATTGATAATAAAAAATAACCAATCAGCGCATGAGAAATTCGTAAATTATTGTAAAAAAAGTCGTGATGAATTCATAGTCATCCAGTTACTACCTTATAGCTTTGGATCGTTCATGTTTCCACAAATATGTTTTGTTCATTGCTGGTGCAGTTTTTTATGATCTATTGAATCACAACACTTGAAATTGTGAGGTTTTTCAAGAGTCTTTAGAAATATGTGCAGTTTGAATGACTGGGAATTAGCCATTCTGAGGTTTAAGGAAAAAAACTGGATCGAGTTGGCATTGCAATGTCGTATTGTGGGACTGCTTAAGGGGACAAATTTGGAGAGATGGCGTCGCCTGAAACAGTCCCACAATGCACTCCAATGTCAACTTGGCCCAATTTTTCTCAACCTCGAAATACTCCCATTTGCAGTTTGCCTCGATTGAGTACAAATATGTTCATTTCTTTCATTACTGTTAATGTCCATTGTATAGTAGGGAATGTACCTACTATGCAACGATACGAGTTGTAAAATGCCACAGGTTTTGGTTGAATAGCTGAATATTTCAAGCCACAAGCGAGACTATGGCTGAGCAAAAAAGAACTCGAAACTGGAGTATTTGCTAATAGTGAGCAAGCCTAGCTTATACCTGCTATTATTTTTTTAGTTATACGTTTTGTATTTTGTTTTCATTATTTATACTATTTATACAGCTGTAATTTTATAAACGTTTGGCCATTGTTGCCCAGATTTCTTCTTATATCCTTCTCCACATCATGAAGTCATCAGCATCTCATCCTTTGCTTCCAATGGATAGTAACTGGGAAAGTCTGGCTAGAATCCACCTTCATTATCCGCCATTTCAGCAGGACAATCTTCATTGCTGACCAGCAGAGTGCCTCAACATGAACCAGATAAAACCGACTATCAAAAGACCTTTAAGACCAAACAGCAAAAGAGCTAATAACAAGATGACCGATACAATCGGTTGTACTACGTTTTGTCCAAGATTCCAGCGCGGAAAACCAGCATCGAGTAGTTTATTATTAAGTTGATCGAGCATTGACCCTTGTCCCAAAACACTAGGTCCATTGGGTCTTTGTCTTGTACTGAAGCTATTTGGACCTCCTTGTACGCCTTGTTCAGTCAAAGATTCTGGTCTTCTATTCCGTTGTTTGTAAGCCTGAGCTCTTGGATCGTTGTCCTGCACTATTTCTCCGTTGATAATTGTTACCATTTTCGAATGATAGACCAAAGAAAGCAGTAAATGAATTTATTTCTTGCTCAGTTTATACGTGGCCGCGCTGTTTGGGGACTGGAAATACCACAGGTAACCCAAAATAAGAGCAATTTTCGGGATCTCGTTTCACAGTGGAGGGGAAATAGGGTGTGAGCTATCTCAAAAAAACAAATTCACTGAAGAGGTCTGACCTGTCCTACCCTGAGTCACATCATTCCAGAGATTTTAGATGGAAGTTTTTTTTATCATTGTAAGACCAATGTTTATGGTCATCCAAGTGAATTCGTGGGAATGGAATCCTCCTTTGCAGACGTCCTAAGGGGGAAACCTAAAGAAGGAATTTTTAGGATGGTCCTTAAGGACACCTGCAAGGGAGGCTATGGGAATGGGGTACAGTCAGAGTTTACTTTTCTGTCTGTCTGTCTGTTAGCAGCACAAACAATGAAGATGCATATATAGCACTATGAATGAAATATAAAACTAATTTATTTCAATATTATTGTATAACTACTTTAAAAATTAAAATCTATAGCTTGACCTATTATTTATCTATTTATGCATAAGTCACAATATTCACATATTTTTCTAAAAACAGAAGCAATTTTATTGAAAAATACAATGAAAACATCAAAATCAATGAAACGCCATCAATATAACTAGCACTGATAATGTGGTACTAAAAATTACAGCACTCCACTGTTATGTACCAGTAATTAAGTGCAAAATAAAATGAATAGAATAATTATACAAACACTAAAACCGTGCAATACTTTAACTTCTTAGCACGAAATAAACAAAAGGAAACAATAGAATTAGCATAATTCAACGCTTTGTAGATTGCACGCTTTTAGTATTTATACTCATGGTACAGATTTATCACAGTCAGAAAGAGACTCTCAGCTCTTAAAATTACTACAAATCAATAGGAAAATGTTATCAAATTAAATATAATTTCATGCAGACATCACTGGTGTAATGCATTTCTTTAAATAGAAATAAAGTAATTTACCGAACATTGATGACCAAAAACTAAGAGTTACATTAGCTAAAACCTCACTAATTACAGTCTGGAAAATAATAGTTCATGCAAGGCCTGTATTTTGACAAAACGATGTCAAGAATATCCCCTTTGACAACAGTAAATGCAACAGAAAATCAAGAATCATAGACGAACCAGGAAAAAACCTCAAAGCTATATGGAACTAGGAGCCATGTTTTTTTAGCCCTTCGTTAACTGACCTGGCTGCATGGCAATTAATTCATCGACAGCTCTGATTTCTGGGAGTCATAAACTGTTATTAAATATATTTTTTTACTGTTTCTTGTTTGGGTGGCCTTGACAACTTTCAAACCTTGGGTATCTGGCCTCCATTTATCAAAAAAAGTATGAATTTAGAGTTGATGTAGTCAGAAGATGGAAGCACGAGTGGTGTGTGGTGCTAATGTGCATGCATCCTAGGTTCAAATCCCAGGAATGGTGTCATGTGAGTAAAGTCTTCTGTGCTTCGAGAGATTTTCTCTGAATTCTCCAGTTTCCTCCCTCCTCAAAATTCTAATTGGTTTTCAAGCTTTTACCGAGCTGGAACCTAGCTCTGTTGCAAGTGCTCAATGCTATGACACAACAGCCAAATCTTAATAGACTTTTTCTCAACTTTTTAAATTGATAAACTTAATCAATCGAAGCCTAATTATTATTTAGCAAAAGCTGTGTCACATTAGGAGTTGTTTGGATAAACCAGAAACATGAAAAGTGCTAAAATGGAACTAAAATACTTAATGCCAGGTTACAAGTGGTTATTTCTTATGAACCTGTTCCCTTCAGAATGCTTGCCATAGTATACATAACGACATTCCCCAAATGTCCCACGATGTTTTCCTGGAGTAGTTGTGTCGTTTGGAAGTGGAGTGTACTTAAAGCCATCATAATCTGTATCAGCAGATAAACCTGGTTTCTGTTAATTGAGAAGAAAATTTAAAAAAAACTGTGCTTAGAATTTAAGAAATATTCTAGATATGAAGCTGAAAAAAAWWRGGAAAAAAAAAAAAAAAAAAAAAAAAAAAAAAAAAAAAAAAAAAAAAAAAAGAAAATGTCAGTGTCTACCATTTGTTGAAATTGTCAATCAACACAATTCAGCTGGTATTAAGGTACAAGATTACCAAACTTTTATTTCAAATGATATCACACATTATGTATTATAATAGACCTATCCCGAAATTCGATTGACTGGTCACGAAACAATGGTTTCAAGTCAAAGTTGAACTTGATGAATAAAAGAATCAAGTTCAGTCTCGACTTCAAACCATTATTTCGTGGTCAGTAAAGCAAATTCGGGATAGGTCTATTATTATCAACTTCCTTGCTTACCATATTGTCTAATGTTGGGGTTACAACCTTCATGAATACACCAACTCTCTTAGCCTCTTGTCTCTCTGCTTCCTTCACTTGTCTTGAGTCAAGAAATTTTAGCTTGGGTAACTTGTACAAGACATAATATCTAAGATTTGGAATAAGCGAGTTAATTACTAGATGCTTCATAAGAGAATATTATTGCACAAAATAGGGGCCTTTAAACCTTTGCCCAAATGGGTGGCATTGGTGGTGCTGTGGTCTGGGATTGAGCCCTGGCTTGGACTGGATCAAATGTGAGTTAAGCTTGTTTGATGTCTTGTTCTCTCCCGAGCAACAAGGGTTTTTCTCTGGTTTTCCTCCCTCCATAAAAATCAATATGTGAGTTGAGTGTTGTACTGGTATGTTGTAATTAAAGAATGTAGTGATAGTGCATATGGAGTCAACATCACGGAAGAGCCCCGTAGAGGGAGTGATGGTTGTAAAAATCATAAGTCTGCATGCCCCTACATAATGATGTTTACAACAGACCCCTTGCAGCACTTTGGAATGCAGCTCAATCTGGGGGCCAAAACAATAGGTTCCAATTCTCAGGAGATTGTAATTCTTTTGTTTTGTCTCCAGATCGAGCTGCTTTGACGTCACATACAAGGGGTCTATACTAATTATCACTCTCAGCAGCCTATTCTCTTACCTGTATCGCTGATAATCCTCTTCATCTTGATCATTACCAGAGAGTTCATTTGGACAAGCCGTATTACCCAACATACTAAGGAACGTCAAGTTTGGAAGGTTTTTACAAATAACTTCCAAAAGTTTTTCAAGACTAACTAAGTGAGAATTATGTCAAGAAAAAATGTTGATGTCAAATTATTACAACATATTATAGGCAACTCGTTTTGCAAGGTTCAAAATAATGAAAATACCATATTAAGTATAGTTTAATAAACGAGCAAGAGTGTTTTATCAGGTTTAAAACCATATGGCATAGCCGAGTGGTTTTAGACCTGATAAAACACGATCTGCGAGTTTATTGAATGACTTCAAAAATTCATGAATAATATTGAGCATTTAGGGTCCTTATTCGTGAAATGCTCTTGTATTCTTTTGGTCTTTTATAAAGATTTAAAAATCTATATAAAGATATCCATGTTGAACTATTATCAGGTATAAAGATCCATGCACGTGATGGATCTGAAGGACCTGATAGGTCTTGATGCTTATTAATTATTCATGAATGTTTAAAGCACTTTTTTAAGTAAAGGATATTTTATTCTTGTTCATGGATAATGTTTTGAGATGAGGAAGAGGTGGTATTTCAAGGTCATCTCCTAGCTGATTGTTATCTAGAATCAGTTCCTCCAGCAGTTCAAAGCTATTGATTCCATTTAAAGTCCTAAATTTAAAAAAAAAAGTAAAAAAGGAAGAATATTCAAAATTAGGATGTGTTGTTTTCTATATGTATATTAGCAGGGACAGCGAAACAGGGGGCTGGGGGCTTTACCTTCCCACTTTTTATGAAAATGACAAATTATTTCAGGGATTAAAATAAACAGCCAGATATCACACAACCTCTGCCCAGAATTGAAACTTTGCCTTGTTGGTCATTTTGACCAGTAAGGTTAAGCCAGAAAGGAGGTATGACCGAGTTAAAACTAATTTGGCTGGACATAATAATAATAATAATTATTATTATTATTTAGGCATGATACATTTTACAGCGTTGTTGATGTGGTCGTGTATTTTCAAAATAACATATAATACCCCTAAAATATATATCCAAATATCTCTTTCCCTCTACTCTCTCTCTTTCTCCTTTTCACTCTCTCTCTTTCTCTGTCTCTTTCTCTCTCTCTCTCTCTCTCATCATGAATGACAACTTACTGGCCGTTATTCTATAAGCCCTGTATTTTGTATTAGTTTGAGTTCCATTATGAAGAAAAACAGAGAAACTTTTAGGAGTATTAGAGAAGGCTGGATGAGTGGGAGTAGGTTGAGTAGGTTATTACCTGTCGCAGTCAGCCCAACCAACAACCCAGGGGACCAGGAACTGCTATTCATCTGGCCTCTTCCCCAGATATTTTACTGAGCAAATACCTCAAATTATTGAAGCTCAGGTCAAGTCGTGTCACCAGTTTGCCATACTTCCTCCCTATTATTCCTGGCACAGTCTCGGCTTCTTGGCCAATAAATGATAACTATTAATAATAATTAATAAATCATATTAAAATCTTTTTAGCAGATCATCATATATGTGTGAACTTTCACACTACAAGTAATTAGTCAAATTAGTGATTCTGTTTATAATTTTAAGCCTTCAATAAAAACGTATCACACCTTACTAATTGCTGTTTTAAATATTATAACTAAATGGATATCCAGACGACTTCAAAGCAAAATAACCTATGATTGAAATTTTTAGAATGTTCAAAAACGAAAGAGTGATTTCTAATGAAAAGTAAGATGAAAAAAAAGAACAAAGGTCAGGGTTTTGAAGCACGTTTTACAGTCATGTGATGTTCCTGCAGTCGTTCTTCCTCTCCATCACGAAATCCAGGTCATTTCTATTAATTTGGAGACCCAATTATATCTACCTGGTTGTCACAAAGTACTATACCGTCCGTATTGCTCTCCATGAGTATTTTTACGTCTGTTTTGGTTGCTTTATTCCTTCAATTTTGAACATCACTAATATTGATGTCAACTCCAAAATCAAAATCTGTGTGTGTGTGTGTACATGATCTTGCCTTACCGATATAACAGCTCGCTTGATTGGGTCGTGGAATACATCCAATCAAATATTTTCTCTTATAAAAGATGACGTACACATTTCCCTTGTAAAACGATTTCTGATTGGGCTATTTTTATTGCATCTGTCCAATCATAAGCCGCCTTATAAGTAAATGCGCCTTCAGTGTTTATAATCAGCGTGAAGCCCTGTCACCATAGAAACTAACAAGATAAGATTGATTCTGTGTTGTTGGAGTGGAAATTTAGTGAAGTTTTACCTCAAAAATTATACTTTTTAAAAGTAATAGGTATTATTTATGAAGAGTTATGGATTCTGAATATCTAAAACAGCATGTTGGTGAAGCTTTGGCCATTGGTTTGACAGAAATTGTTGAAAAAAGGCCAGTAGATCCTATCGAGTACTTGGCTTACTGGCTGAGAAAATACGTAGAAAATAGAGATTTTGAGCTCAAAGTAAGTATGAAAATACTATTTTTTTATGATTTTATATCATTACCAGTTCAGAAAAACTAAGATGTAATCTTTAATGCATCCATCTATGGATATCATTCGAATTAATAGTTTGTTTCGTAGTATTTTAAAGTCAAACCATACTTGCAGCACTCAACCAAGATTTATGCCTGTAAATGAAATTTGTTATTTCATTTTATTAGTCTGAGTTTTGATGTATCAATATTTTTTTATCAATCTAGAAAAAAGAGGAATTAGCTGCTCTTGAACTTGAGAGAACGGTTGCCAAGGATGAAAGGGAACGACAGATGAAAATGATGGAAGAAGCAGAGGTAATTGCACGACAAGAAGCATATGAAAAGGCAGCTCAAGAAGAAGTAGTTGTTGACACAGCACCAAGACCAATGCCGCCTGAAGTATCTGGGACACTACCGGCTGTTGCTGAAGGTGATGAGGAAGAAGACGAAAAACGTAAGTTATATGTCTGAATGTGTGTTCATGTGTGTGTCATTTCACTAGCATAAAGAGGGGGAGGGGGGGCACATGCTCCTCCAAAAAACTTGCTTTCTGCACCAACATTTAAATGATTCATGCAGGATTCCTGTGGATTTAATTAKCTGTAGTTACAGAATGATACAGAAAAATGACAGGTAGTAAGAGCAGATTTCATAACAGCATGCCAAGGACTCACGGTATGGATTTTTCATGCTGTGTGACTAGATGAAAACCTTGCAAAATAAGCCTTTTAGTAGTTTTTGCCATATAGCACAGTCATGCACAGTGGGAAAAAGACAAAAAACAGTGTATGCATCAAACCAATCACTTGGTGTTGTGTTTCTACTTATCCAATTAAAATAGTTAGGATTATAACACCCACCCTGTTATGACACAGCAAATGATGTACTTTTGCCAATTTTACTTTATCTTGACTGACTGGAAGGGGAGCCTTGGGTCCTTGATGGTCCCGATGGACTGTTGATTGCCATGTCCAGCTATATTATTGATCTGAGTTTAGATTTCATCATCATTGAACTCTTGTCTTTATTCTGTGTAGGTAGAAGAAAAATGAAATAAGAGAAAAGATGACTAAATAGATAAATGTGATATCAATGTAAATGAAATCAAAATTAATGTATATAGTTACATTTATCAATGATGTTAGGGTTTCAAAAAATGAAAAGAAATAAACTGATAAACCCTTTCTTTAACGAGGGTGGCACTAAATAGCAAAAACTATGCTAATAAACTCGTGGCCCTGATCTTGCCTTAAAAGCAATAAAATATAATAAATACAGATTTGTTTTTCACTAATAAAGCCATCAAATTCTTGTAAGCACAAACTATGCTTCTAACAGTCAATTGTTCAATGGTATTGGGAATTGGTAACTTCAAATGAAAGGCAACTAGAAACAGATAGGAAAAACAAGACAGGAACATTACATAGGAAGATTTACCAACTGATAGTCTTGTCATGTATCACAGTGAGTATAATCCTAACTTGTTATTCTTAGCTTTATATCTTTAGACAGGCTAGATTTTTAAAAATTCCTTGAATTTTATTGCTTTGAATTATATTTTTTTGTCATTTTCAGACTTTCAATTGACATTTTTTTTGTATGTTCAGAGGAAGAAGCAAAGTCATCAGACACTGATGCCAAAACCAAAGACACAACTACAAAGGAAGAAGGTCAGTTACCAACACTAAGTGAAGAAGCTGAAAATGAAGAGAATACGAATGAGACTCCTCAAAAAGATGAACAAATAGAAAAAACAGAAGAAACAAATGAAACAGAGAAACCCAAAACAGAAGCAGAGGAACCCAAGACAGATGCAGAGGAACCCAAAACAGAAGCAGAGGAATCCAAGACAGGAGCAGAGGAACCCAAGACAGATGCAGAGGAAACCAAGACAGATGCAGAGGAACCCAAGACAGATGCAGAGGAGGAAATACCCCAAAAACAATCAGAGGAGCCTAAGGCAGAAACAGAGGAACCAAAAACAGAAGCAGAGGAGAACAAACAAGAACAGCAAGAGGAAGAAAAGGAAGCTGCAGAAGGTAATATTGTTTTATACCTTTTTAGCAACAAACAGACACCTTAAACTTAAGGGGGCCTTTGATTTATCATGGCATAGGGGACATGGAGGAGAAGGAGGCTCAACAACTTTCTTGGGAGGATGGTTACAATAATTTTATTTGTTTTGAAAAATATAGGGATATAACAAAAAAAAAAAAAAAAAAAAAAAAAAAAAAAANAAAAAAAAAAAAAAAAAAAAAAAAAAAAAAAAAAAGAATTGGGAAGTGCAATGGGATCCAGTACTGGTATACATTAAAACAAACCCCAATGGTCTATAGAAATAGATGTTAACCCAAGTTAAATATTTATTTATTTTAGTCACATTTTTCCTTACATCTGTGGATTGCGTTTCTGTTTGTTCACAAACAAATTAGGTTTATTTATTCATTTATTTATTTTGGTTGCTTACAAGTTATCTTTGACTTTTCTTCAGGAGTCCAAGCTGATGGTGCAAATGCATCTGAAAAAGAAAGTGAAAATCCTGATGATACCACAGAAGCTGAGAAAGAATAATAAATATGAAATATGTAATATAGTGTACAAATTTGTACTTTCTTTGTCAATAGATGTTTAGTCATCAATAAATTATTCACATTACGATATTACAATTTCTCCATCATTTCAAAATTGCATTCTAAACATGTAAAATTTGTAGTCTCAGTTTCCAAGGTTCATACACTATGCTTGTCATGCGAGTATGAATAATGCCCATAAGTGAAAATGTAATCCATTCATTATTCTAATTTATCTTCCACTAGGACTTGCCTACTTAAGAATTGTCTTCTCAAGAATGAATGTTGTGTAACGTTTTTAATTCCTTATTACTTTCATCTGAAAAATGTATTCTAGGAGTGCATGTTCCCCAAGTTGACCTCTCTTGTCTCCCATGAAAGTATTTTATTTGAGCGAAGCATTCTTCATTAGCTTGTCTTGTTAGATCAACTAGAATGATGACTGTTTCATTGTTATTTATATCAAGGGATTTTGAGTCATGTGGTTGTACCTCAAGAATACACCACCGGCATGTATATATTTTTGTATTTTTTATGTAACCATGGAAACAAAAATATTATGTAGGTATAAATAAAGCAATATTCTATAATAATATTGTTTAGTTTTTCTATCAAAAACACAACATACCAGTTTAAAAGGAAGCCATTTCTTAAAATTTTGTCTAAGTGAAAACCGGAATTTTTTGCTAAGAATCCTAGATTTTGAATTCTTTGGTTCGGGCTTCCTGTGYATATTCCAGCGGTCTTCCACATGAACKACAACAAGATGGCTGCCGAAGGTGTCTTGTATTTATGTCTTTTTGCACAAGAACATGKGGACTTYAGAGTGCCGGTAAGTAGTGCTACATGTGTATCCTTATACCACTTGTTTGCATCCCTATGCTAATAGTTTATATCCCTCGTTAAATAAGACAAAAACGGGACTAAAGTGTACGGTGTTCTTGGATTCTGCATGACTTTATAGGCTAGACTCAAAAGCTCAGATGATTCTATTTATTCCATTTATGTGTTACTCATTTAGTCAGTGAATTGGGCAAGGCATCCAATTTCGTTTGCTTTCATTGAGATTTGTAGATCTTTTTAGTTGAATATATTCATCTTGAACCAAGTTTGTGCTATACCACAGGAGACCCAAAACGCTTATATTTTTCCTACGTGAAAATCCATTCTTTTATATTGTGATTATTTTCTTATATAATTTATGTCATCTTTTACTGTGTCTAAATGTATATGTTTTACTGAAGTTCCCTTTTGAAAGCTCACTAAAATGACATTGCATATTTTAATTTATTTAATTYTCTTTATTTTGTTTTGTGTGTATAATTTATTTAAAACCAAGGAAGTGATATCCATATATTAATTGATCTGAGCCATACTGATTGGACTGATCAACATGTGACCAAGAGCTAGGCCAGGATCGGACAGGCCTATAAGTGGAAACCTTTCAGGCTGGACATTGTTCTGGTGATGGAATATTAGACCATGCATTAATTCATGCAGCCTTGTTATATATTTTGAGCCTTGTTTATGTATTTCAGTGGTTATAGACAAACAGAAACTCATTAAGGGGTTGAAATCTGTGACAGCCAATTCAATAATGATTGCTGTGATATATTTCTGTGGTATGATGTTCCAGAATATTCAAATATATTGTTGATGAATTTTGATCATTGTCAGAAAGTGATATGTATGTCCTCTTGCTTCAAACACACAGTAGATATCCTGTATTTTCCATTGACATTAATTCAGGAAATTTCTCTGAAGCCAGTGTGAATCATGATCATGATCATGAATCCAGATATATTCCAAATATGGTCAAAAATATAATTTGCATATTTGAATATTTATGAGAATGGTTACAGACTGTTACACATTTCACAGGTTTACYATCCTGAGTATTTGTGGTTTCGGATGTATGGAATAAGCCTTGTCCCCCTTTCTTCCCCTCTCACACACATAGCTTGATCACACCAAACTCCAAAAACTGCCCTTAAAACACATCGGATGAATAAATAACACTCAAATTTCATGAACTGAATGACAAAACTTTATTTTGATGGCATTTTCAGGTTATCAAACCATCCCGTAATGAAAGAAATATTGGCGTAATCTTTGATTCTGTGATGTCAATGGTTCCTCATGTTAATAATATCTGTAAGACGTCGTTCTATCATTTGCGTAACATTGCTCGTATTCGTAAATTTATCTCCGTCCATACTACTGAAAGACTTGTCCATGCTTTTGTGACATCCAGGCTTGATAATTGTAATTCTCTTCTATATGGTTTACCTAATGCTCAAATTGATAAATTACRATATGTTTTGAACTCTGCTGCTCGTCTTGTAACTCTCTCCAAGAAGTATAATCACATCACTCCTGTCCTTTGTTCTCTGCATTGGCTTCCTGTGAAACATCGCATCAATTT